CTGGAGGGTGATTTTCTTTCCGCGTCACGTTGATTTACATTTAAACGCCTGTGGAGGGTCGCCGCCATTGGCGGGCTGCGGTTCGAAACGAGCGCGCCTGCGCAGACGGTGCGGGCCGGGCCGAGGCCGTGCGGAAGATCCCGGGACTCTCTGTGTGTGTGTGACCGCACGACTGAAAACAGGTGAGGTGAAGGTGAAGACTTCGGATTTATGTCTGCGAAGGGGTTGTGAGAGATAGCTTCTCCGCCGACAGCGTCGCAATGAAACTTTAAAATGAAGTTGTCCACCTCGAAGAATGACCTGGGTTGCAGGCGCTGTGGAAAAGCCCGGTGATCCTTCGGTGTTGCAACTTTGAAACACAGGTTGGAGTGAATCGGATATTTCTGGATAATCACTTGCAATTTTTTTTTTAAATATATATATATTATTTTATCCTCCAAGAAACCGCACAAAGACTTTGTATTCCGAGCAGCGCCGTACCGGTCATTGTTAGTTTTATATCTATATATGGGCGGAGAAGAAATAACGTTTTGGATTTGCGTACTTTTTTAAAAAAATGCTGAAGTAGAGCGATGAGCAAGCCTAAAACTAGATTAATTTAATAAATCAAGGTGCCCGCTAATTTGTGTTTAACATGTATTAGAAAATAACGAAAAGTCCATTATTGTATATTTCACAATAGCCTGTTGTCTGTAAAAGTCAGAACAAGCTACAACACAATTACCGTTGACGTTCGAGTTTAATCGCTTTCAACTCAAGAAGTGCGTAATTAAAACTTTAAAAAACTCTTTAATTCTCGTCAGACGTTGCTCCTGAACCTTGTCTTGTCAACTAAATCTCACATTTATTCTCGCTTGTATCAGTCTTACCAACAGCGGGTAATGTCTGGGATATTATTCATCTTGAGACCAAGGGTTTTAATGCCTCTGAATCGAGTATCTTTGTGCGGATGTATCCGAAGTCGTGTGAATTTGTGAAAATGTCGTTTCCTTGTGGATGATCAGATTGTAAGAATCGGCACTGTCGTACTCTTAACAACAGACCTGTTAATGACAACTCTCGGTGGTCTTTCATGATAAATTGATGTCTGAATGATATTGCCAATATGACCTCGGGGCAAAAATAGTTCTTACAATGGCTTGTGAATGATAAAGATTCAATTGACATGACGCGATTAAGTGGCATCTTGATGCTGAACACCGAGTCAAGTCTCGTTAAAGAATCAGGGATGACACTGACTAGCCAGCCTGCTGCGAAATGTCAATAAACTCCCGTAGGAGAGTCGCTGGGAAGAAATATCAGTAGTGCTTGAACAATTTAAACCTGTTGCACCAGCTTCTTAAGAAATGTTGATCACCATTATCTTTTATTGTCCTCGGAGGATACACGACTTTGTCTCTTAGATCTTTATTTCATGTACATATGCATTCCTATAGAAACAGCTGCACAGTAATTCATTAGGCTCTTTGGTTAACTGGTCGTTCAATTTTCCAGGAACGAAAACGTTTTAAAGAACTGTTATCTAACTCAAAACTCACTTTTTTTTTTTACTGGGTACTGTGTCTCATTGCCCTACATCCTATCCTGTGTGTTTCTCTTTAGTTGTTTTTTTCACTTTTAATTGCACTTAACTTATGGCTTGTACTTGGGTTTTGGAAAATTGATCTATATTAATGTATTTGATCATTATTTATAAATAGAAATATCAACTTACTTATACAAAGAATTGTATTGAATTGCGGTGTTTAAAAAAAATACACCCAGACCGGTTTCAGTGGGTAATCACTTTATATTTTTGGTCTTTGTTTCAGTAGTTTGATGATCAGATATTTGTTTTGTGTCACCAAGACTTGCAGTGTCTTGGCAGGCACAGTACAGATCGCTAAAGACCTTTCTTCAGACATGCAGGCATACTGGGTACGCCTTAACGTAGTGCATTTTTTTTTACAGAATAAAAAAGCATGGAAAGTCTGGAGGAGGATCTCACGTGTTCAGTGTGCTACTCGTTGTTCAGTGACCCTCGTGTTCTGCCGTGCTCCCATACCTTTTGTAAAGGCTGTTTGGAAAATGTTCTCCAGGTTTCTGTCAATTTCTCTATCTGGAGGCCGTTGAGAACCCCCCTTAAGTGCCCCCACTGCAGAAATATGGTGGAACTGCCCCCAACAGGGGTTGAAGCCTTGCCAACCAATGTGTCTCTCAGAGCTATCATAGAGAAGTTTCAAAGGGACGACCAGTCCAAACCTCCCTCCTGCCAGGAGCACCCAAAGCAACCACTGAACGTGTACTGTCTCCAAGATCGTCAGCTGATTTGCGGAGTTTGTCTTACCATTGGGCGGCATCGGGGTCATGCCATTGACGACCTGCAGGCAGCCTTCATGAAAGAGCAGGAGGCTCCAGGGACGCTCGTGGAGCAGCTGACTGATAAGCGGTGGGCCGAGGTTTCCTTGTTAGCAGAAAAGCTGGAGCAGCAGAAAGCTGGATGTGAAAACCTCATCAGACAAGACAAAGAATCCGTGGTGCTGTACTTTGAGAAGATTAAACGGACCCTGGCGCAGAAGGAACGGGAGTTCCTGGCTGCTCTTGATGATGCAGGCGCTAAGCTCTCAAGTGAGTATGACCCACTGCTTGAGACGCTTAAGGACATGAAGGAGGAGCAGCTGGAGCTCATGTCGTACAGTGCAGCAGTGGAGGAGGAAGACTCTCCCCTTCTTTTTCTGGAGAAGGTTCATATCTTCCGAGAAAGAGTTGCAGCTCTGAGTAAAGCACCCCTTCCAGTTGTTAAACCCTTGTACATCTATCCAAGGGCTGGGGAATATCTGAAACACAAGTGGTCTGGGATTACTCTTGGGAACCTTGAAAGAGAGGAAATACCACAAATTAACCACTGTCAGGGCCAAGTTATTTCCAGAAATTTCAACAGACTACAAGCTTTGTATGTCAGTAGGTCTGTGTTGGTGTTGCTTTTGCTCTTGGTTTTATTGGGCAGCGCACTGATTGGCGTTCAGCTCAGCCGGTACTCTGATATGTATCAAATTAATGAAATGATTCAAAATTATGCGTGTGAAATAACTGCCCCTTTCTATTCAGGGAAGGATGTGGCTGTTTATTTCCAGTCAGTTTTGGTAGATTTTATCACAGTGTCAAGATCATTTTTTCAGCTGTAGGGGAAGTTGACTTATACATTGATTTATACCAGTTTTAAGACCTAAAGCGAGTTTTTAAGAATAATTTGTAACTGAAGGTCCTGAAAGCTGCTTGTTAAATGAAAATGAACTATTTGGCAAGAGTACTGCGATATGAAGGCTAACATCACAAAATTGACATAGGGCTGCCAGGGATACAGTCAAGATTAGCTGAGCTGGACATTGGCAAAACAGCAACTTCCCCTATTACAACAGGCTAGACCTTATGTCAGTGAGAAAGGCCTGTGGAGTTTGCAGTGGATCAAAAGAGGATGAGCTTAACCACTGGGCAGGTTGGAAGAGTTTATCTGACCATTGCTATTCTCCTGTCTAGTACAGGAGTCATTGGTGCAAGATGAGCTAGAGATGGTTAGGAACAGTGTATTAAGCACCTATCTGCATTCTTCCATAAATTGACCCTGAAACAACAAACAAGAATTAAACATCACCTTAGTATGAAAGTATAGGTGCACTAGTATTTCGCACCCTAGAATACTAGAATATTATAGTGCTACAGAAAACAATTGAAGTAGGTGAGTAAAACTTGTCATTTTATAGATAACCAAGTATTTATCAGGGACCTATTTAATGAGCTGGTAATATAAATTTTCTATTGCTATATTAATCTGATCTGGGGTGAGTTTCCCAAAAGCGTTGTAGCACTAAGAACATCGTAAACTCCATCTTATGAACGATTGTTAATTTATGAGTGTTTCCCCAAAACCATCATAACTAAAGTAGCATGTTAAATCCTTCGTAATCTATGTGCTCCCCAACCCACTCATTAATTGCTAAGTGCTTCTTAAACTGGCTACCACTTGCGCCAACCTTTGCGACAGACGGAGATCACCAGACAGAGCACATTAAATTCGCGTCATGACAGTTCTCCGGAAATTTAGAATACTAAGATATATACTTGACTGGATGATATCAGGATTTTCCTGATGAAGTGTAGTAATGCATTATTTAAGTTTAAATCAGTGGGTTGGAGCGGTGGCTTGTATCTCTAGCCTAAAAGGGCTGCAATAGCAGAGGGTTCTCTGCATTGAACGTACAGGTGTTTTGCAATCACCAAGGACTTTTTACGGACCTTGTGGCAATGTGGCCTGGGGGTACCCACGAAGCCTTGATATGGGCCAATTCGGCAGTGTGTCAAACTGCAAAACACGGCGAGTTTGGTGGTGGATGGCTACTGGGTGATGGCAGGTATCCCCTTCGTGCATACCTGTTGACACCTGTAACTAACCCCCAGAGGGCGGCCGAAGAACAATATGACGCGGCACATCGGCGAACCCGCAGCCTGGTGGAACGCAATGTAGGTCTCTGGAAAAGTCTTCGTAAGTCAGCGGGTGGCATCAGATTTTCAACTCAGCGGTGCGGCGCTGTGATAGTTGTGTGTGCGCAATGCTGCACAACATGGCTGTCGGAGCAGCCGTACCCCTGCCCAGTGAAGACAAGGAGGATGAGGGCGAGGAAGAAGGGACGGAGTTTCCTGATCTTACAGCAGAGGGTGTATACCAGGCTGGTGTGGAGGCTAGGCAGGCCGTCATCACTACCGTTTTTACATAATTATTTAATCAGTTGCAAGACTTTATATTTCATTGTACGTGAGTTATTCCCTGTATATTTGAGAAATAAACACACTGTGCACAGTCCGAAGGAGTGTGGAAATTAATACATAATTGAATTTATTTTCTTATCTTTATGAACTGTGGAAAAATAACAGATAATATAAATTAAATGTATACACAATTTACAAATTGCCTGCAGGCAGCGGTGTGTCTGAAAAGAAAGTAAAGTAATGAATATATACATAAGGTCACAAATAGAAAACTACAATAGAAGAGTTTGGTCCAGACATGTTCACCGTAACTCACTGTGTTCAGAAGGCAGCATTACTGGCACCAATACAGAGGGCTGGTCATACTGGGCCTCGGCCACAGCTAACTTTCTTACCATAACATCAAGTTTGAGCTTCTTTAAGCTCTTTAATTCCATGAGCTGTGTGTGGTGCCTTTCTCACCACACCAGAAGCTCGCACTTCAGTTGGAGCTTCTCTCCAGCCTCACTTCACCCGTGCCTGTGGTTCAGGGGGTGGCCTTCGCCTGGGGCCGGTCTGAGAATCTTTGCTGGAACAGGGGGATAGATGCTGGGGTGAGGAAGCGTGGGGTGGTGGTATAAGAAACTCCCACAGACATCTATCCTTCCAGATATCCCCTCTATAACCACTGACCCAAGGATTGGCAGGACTCTTTCCTGCTCTGGGGAAGGAGGCAATGTTATCTGCCCACCCCAGTCTCGACCCTCTCTCCTTAATTCTGCTGCTCTTCTTTCAGCAAGATTTTTACATTTCTTGCCATTTTTTTACATCCTGACCTAGGTTGTGATGTGCAGGCACTTATTCTCTTCGCTATCTCATCCCACTTCTGTTTCTTCTCGCTGTTGGAAAGGCTGCCACGTGCCTTAGTCAACAACACTGTTGTCGTCAATCTCTTCTAAAAGAGCAAGCTCTGCTTTAGAAAAGTGTGGTTTTCTTTTACAGCATGTCTGTTTTCTTTTGCGTTTATCTTAGAAGCATTAGGTGCCCAATTTTGTGCCAGTTAATATGCTTTTGCTTTATTGGTAATTCAATTATGATGTCATGTTTACTTCATATTACTTCACAACTGTATTTCATTCCACCGAAGGACCAAAAACAACACCATATAATTAAAAGTATTGTCAATCAATTGCTTTTCAATCAACTTTTGATGCTTTTTGCTAAGCAACTTCAGGGACAGGGTTAACAAAGAAATAAATTATACTTGCTTTTAAAATAGCCGATTAAGAGGGTTTTAGGGAAACACTTGAATAAATAGCACATATGTTGTTAAGTACATCATAAAGTTGCTAATTAATCTTAGATTCATCCTTTCCGGGAAACTCACCCCTGATGATCTTAGTCTTAGCACAGATCTGTTAATCACAAATATCAAGGCTTTCAAAATCTAAAAATGATTATGTACATTAATTTATATCAACTATATTGCTCATCTTTCTTATAGCCTAGGAATTAAATTACTTTAACTGCTCGCTCATAAACTATTGGAATTTACTCAATCAGTTGCTAAGGAAAATACCCCTTTAGATTCAAACTACCTGGCAGCAGATTCAGTCAGGGAATGCCAAGCATGTGGTACCAGACTATTAACTATTACTATCTTGTTGTGTCCAGGAGTATGAAATAGTATAAAAAAGTACCAATTACAGATATTCCTAGGAAAGGTCTATTCTACTAAATAAAATTCTACTCATCTATGTAGTTTAACCTATCAAATGTGATTTTTCTTCATACAAGTACTGAAAACTTTAACTTAACTGATTTTTAAAATGTTATTTTAGAATAAAGAGCATTAAGTTAAATAAATCACAATACATCACACAAACACATACTTATTCAGTTTATTAGCTTAGAAAAATATGCTTACATCTTAAATTGTTAAGTCTCTGTACACAGAAAAAGTAGCAGCTTTTTACTAAAATATGTAGCCAGCACAGAATTAAGAAATTCAAAGGCATAGTATTCTTAAAAGAATCAAGATTTATAAAAAAAATTCAAAATTACTTTTCAGTATTCAAAGAACTTCTCAATACGCATTGTGATTAAAACAAATTGAATGTGTCGATCATGCAGATGGCACTTCCACTTCCGCAAGTTCCTTCGAAGCAATAACCTTCGGATTGATCCCAACGCTTTTGGTGGTGTTGTGTGTTTTGTAAATTCCAATGAGTCTGTCTGCAATCTCGAACATGTTATTTCGTAAAGAAATGATGATGAACTGGGCATTTTTTGTTTGTTCCTGCAATGAAAAAAATACATTGTAGAAATTTAGTAAAGAATTTCATTCAGTTTGAATGAAATATTCCAGATTTTTGTCAATGTACAATTGTTAGGGCTTAGCATTGTTTTACATTAGATCTAATCATAGAAGTCCCCTAACCCATAAACCCAATACTTGTCTAATAGCATGGACTTCAGAAAGCAAACTAATTTCAGAAGAAAGAACACATTTGCATTATAATATAACTTAAAATAACCAATTTGCTAAGTTTTTAATAAATCTGTAAAAATGTACAAGAAATTTACAGAAGCTCCGGCATAGCAGTTTAAGTCCAACAACATTGCCGTAAAGCATTTTCTTTCCACATTAATGAACATGTAGTACCAAATATTTTTCTACTGATAATTTTAAACTCCATCAAATCACCCGCTGCCTTGTATAAAGAACATTTTGCAACATTTATAAAGTTTATATATTGCTTAGTAGTTCTTTCATAATGTACTCACATAAATGTAAAAAGCAACAATCGAAACATTCTTAAAATCCAGAGCTGCGTCAATCTCATCCATGAAGTACAGAGGCGTTGGTTTAAAATGATGCAGTGCAAACACTAAGGCTAAAGAGCTCAGTGTTTTCTCCCCACCAGAAAGATTGAAGATTTTCTTCCAGCTTTTCTTAGGAGGTCTAACACTACAAGGAAGAATTACAAAAGATAATGTTTAAAAAAAATATACTACAACATTTGGTGGAAAATTACATTTTTTTAAATATAATTTTCTGTTATACAAGACCACATTGGTATTTTTCACTTCACGACACTAAGAATATAGTACTTAAATACAGGAATAGAGTTAGAAACAAGAGGAAGCCCTTTATCCAGTCTTTGTTATTTGGGTGCCAGTAAATTATTAATCCGAGGGTATGATCCCTGGGAATTGGCTTTTTGCAGTTTGTTCATCTGACTAGCCATGAAACCAAGACCAAGGGAAAGATCAGTATTATTAAAAGGACCTAAAAATATAGGTATGGCAATTTCTCCTCCAGATACCATTTATTTTTTGTCCTCACATAAGGATGCAGATACAAATTATTTGCCTTAACAGCATATAAATGTACATTTTCATTACCTAAACATAATTCCCTCCGAGAAAGGATCCAGGCTGTCCACCAATTCCAGCTCAGCATCTCCACCCAGTGTCAGCATTTGGTAATTTTCTTTCAGTTTATTTGTAATGATATTGAATCCAGCCATGAATTCATTCAGCCTCTGCTTTCTAAGATCTTCATAGCCTCTTCTGAAGTTATCCCGTTGGTTGGTTATTTCATCCAGTTCCGCAACACGTTGAAGATATAGCTCTTCCTAAAAGAATTGCAGATTTTAGTGTTTCTAAAAAAAAAAAAGCAAAAGCTGGATAAATTTAAAATAAAGAGCAGCTACCTTTTTTTTGTACTCCGCAATAGCGCCAAGGTTTGGCTTCATTTCCATGCATTTTGCTTCGATAAGTGCAATCTGATTATGGATGACATCGGGGTTTGGGGTAGATTCCAGCTCCTCCTGTGTCAGTGTGTGAAGCTCTTCAGCAGGCTGACCATCAATGTCATGTAGGGTAATTTTAGATATCTGAAAATCAAATATTACAGTTAAATATTCCCCACATAATGCAAAAAACCAATGTGTAATTAATTCAACCTATACAGGAATAACTTGATATAACCCTTAATGACTGCCAAGCAAACACCTGACAGATGACCTGTTATTATATTTACGTTGTGCTTTCCATCAACACTGAGCTTAAAAATACAGCATCTGGATTTAAAACTGACATCTTCTAGAGTCTAGACCACCATTTCTCAAATGTAGCCACCAATGTTCAAGTGGTACCGTTTAAAGAGTAGGATAAAAATATGCTCTGTTATGCTTATTAGGGTAATTTGGGTGTAGCACTGAACAAATAAGATGCATTTCCCTTCTAATCCAAGGACATACCGATACTCATCCTAATGTATTTATCATCTATGGACAATTTAAATCTCGTTAATCACTGATGTGTAGACAGTGATTTTTGTCAAAAAACAAAGGGACAAAGGGTATATAAACTGGACATTTTTCTGAATCTGCCTTTACAGAATTACTCCAAATTTAGTAGCATTCACTTGCTCCTTAATGTCAACCATGGAAGGAAACTAAAGTTTTCAAGTAGCAAGTCTGACTTGCAGCAAATCGCAATGTGCAGCTTTCAAAAATATCCATCAATGAGAATGTACATTATGTAATACACTCTTTCCACTGTATTTACCCAAATGATTTTCAAAAGCATAAGCTTTTAGGATACACATCTACTGACCTATTAGTGTGGTTATACATGCTATATATCCATCCATTTTCTAACTGCTTCAACAAGCCAATTAACCTACTGGTAAGTGGGAGGAAATCGGAGCACCCAGAGGAAACCTACACAAGCTCAGAGAGAATATACAAACTCTACACACACAGCACCCCAGGTCTGGAACTGAACCCAGGGCCCCAGTGCTGCGAAGCAGCAATGCTCACCACTGCGCCACTGCTTCTCATTATATACGTGCTCTATTTCTGAATTTGAGAAGAACTTTCCAAGTGAATTTTACAGCTACATTAAAAGATATTAAAATGTGACCATTTACTGTGTCGTTCTTGCCTAAGAACATATTTGTGAATGTATCAACAAGCAAGCGTTGGCCACCAGAAATGGCTAAGACCCTCTGTTCTAGACAAAATGGAAAAGCAATAAAAAAAACAAACAACTATACATCCTAAAAGTACATAATTTAAAAAATGAATATTAAAATTGTACAATGTACTAGAGTATGACCTTATTTAGAAGAATGTGTATAATTCTGTTACTATTTTATAGATCTGAACGCAGATGACCATGAGGGTACCTCATAGTAAACCCAAATGGGCTTAATTCTAAATGGTGAAATGCACCGGAGATTAGAAATCGAAACTACGAGAATTTAAAACAGAAATCAGGAGGTGCTTTTCTCCACAAAAAACTGTGTGATTCTGCAACAAGCTATCTGAAACCAAAACCCTGGGTTTTCAAGAAAATGGATGAATGTTTGGATCAATTAGAACAACGAAACAAACTAGATGGGCTGAACGGCCTGGTCATTTCCAACCTTAATGTTCTTGTCCCCGTGAAATATTAGGGATATATAGTTAATACAGAACTGGTCCTAAGGTATTTAATGAATACCATAACTTTTTATACACCCCCTTGTAAATGTCCATTTAAGAAATGTCATAGCAATAGATACAATACCTCTTTCTGCCAGTGTTTAATCTTTGACTGGTGTTCTGCGATATGACTGTCGATTTGCTCAATGTTGAGCTTTATGTTCAGGGACTCCTTCTGGAGTGCATGTTCTTCTTCCTGAACAGCTTTAATCTCCTGAAGCACATTCTTGTGTTGCTCTTGCACTTCAGACAGTGCCTCCTAAGAAAGAATGTAGAAATATGACATATATCCACTATGTAGTTTTTTTATAGTAGTTCTTGTTTGAAGGAAAACTTTCATTTATCAATCAAGTGCTTATAACCAGTCAAAATATTAAAGAGAGACCCTCTTTCTGTAAACAAGTTATTACCACATTGTGCAGAATAAATACAAATGACCAACAGACCTATCTAAATGAATGCATTAAAGTGGCACTTTGATTAAAAAGAAAAGTAAAAACCTATTAGAAAAAGATTAGAAAAATTGGAAAATGGTTTCATGGTTAAAGTTACCATATCATGGTATGTTAAAACCAGTATCACTACACTCAACCAAAAAGACTTAAAGCTAAAATCCAAAATAATCATATACAGTATATTGCCTCCATTACCATCACAACCACTTATCTCGAAGTCACTTTAATATAATGTCCTAGTGAAGTTGTTTTAAGACTATTTGGACAAAAGAAAAGTCATGCCTCAGCTTCTTTCGACTCCTTCATGACAACAGTAGCCTCCTCTTCCAATTTCTTCAGCTGTTCTGTAAGTTGTTCCACTGCTTTATCATTTTCAACTATTTCCTGCTCTGTTCGTGCAAGTGCATCTTCAGATTTCTTAAGGTTCCTAAAGGGGAAAAAATACAAATGAACATTTCAGTTTAAAATAAAATGTTCTAATTTAAATATTTAGACATTCATTGGCAGGTTATTTGTGATCAAAAGCTCTAATGAGATACAGAAATGACAAATTATTTTATAAAAAATAGGCAGTACAACTAAAATTGCAATCCGTTTGACCTGGTCAAATAATTCTTGTAAAGCAAGATGTACTACACTGATTCTAGTTTATGTGCTTTAACCAACTCAGATCTTTAAGTTATACCAGTGGTATTAGTTGGAATGAAATCAAAGATAACGTACCTTCCAGCAGTCTTGATTGAAACTTGAGCCTTAGTTATTGCAGAGGAACACTCATCTATTTCTTTGTTAATTTTGTCCAGCTTATCTTGCTGTGCTTTAAGTTTGTGGCTAATACTATCAACAATCAGGTTGTGCAGTCTTTTAACTTCAGCTTCCACTTTACCAGCTTTGGCTGCAGCAGTTTCATAATCTAGAATAGAAAAGTTACTAAGTTAAACCTAAACCTGTCTAAAGTAACTCACTTGCTTGGGTAAAGGCACAAATAATCAAAGGCCTAAACTTGAGTCATGTCACTGACTGTAACCGTGAAACCAATTGCTCAAGGTGCGGTATACAGCTGTCGAAGTGTTGCTGGAGGGCAGAGAGGCGTTAGTCAGCGACCCCTGCGGCCTCCAGGGCAATTGCAGACATGTGGTGCTGATGGGAAGGGATGCGCCAATCAGTGCTCCACTTACAGCTGGGTTCCCTGTGACTTGTTCATGGAAGTGTCTTAAAAGAGCAGGGTCAGAGGAGTCATTTTCCTGTGTTTTACGATCTTAGTGTCTGACCAATTGAAAAAAGCCAGTCCTAATCAGTGGGTATAGGAGAAATAGGAAATTAATTCTAAATTTCAAAAAATAGTAAACTACATTTGATGTCTGTGCTAAGGCTTTAAACCACTGCTTCACCAACAACTAAACCACTGCTTCTGCTATATATAAATGTTAACTACCCTTAGTCATTTTCATGTAAGGTTGGCTTTCAAAATCTGTTTCCAAATGATTCATGAACTTCCAAAATACTACCAGACTTATGTGTATAACTTACTAGCTTTCTATCAAGATTCTTTACAATGTATTACAACTTTGTTTCATATAAAAGATTGTTCATTTTATGTATTGTTGATTCCTCCAAGTTCTTCCACACTTGAATACACAATTTACATTAATATTGCAGTGGTGGATATTCACCTCTTTTGAAAGCCTCCAGGTTCTTCTCCAACTGTTTCTGTTTATTTTTATCAGGAGCAGCTGCTGCAACATTTGCTTCAAGCTCCTTCATCTGTAACTTGAGGTGAACTTCTTGCTCTGACAAACTCTGTACAAAACAAACACAAAAAGGGTTTCAGACTGCAAATATGTATCAACAGGCATTCAACTTTTTAAGGCCAATATCTTATAGGAAAACGGGCATCTAAAAGTTAACACTCCAATATTGCCTATTCTACTTCTTTACAGCAAACCAACACAAATTACAAAGACACCTGTCACCTTGATGCTCGCTGTGTACTTCTCCAAAGTGTTTTTCATTTCCCGAAGGTGGTTTCTCAATCTGTGAACGCGCTCTTCAAGCTCCACCTTTTTTTCTTGGCTGCTTTGTGCTAATTGAACTTTATCTTTCAACTTGCGTTCCATTTTTTCCATCTACGAGTGGAGGTTTACAAACAAAAGATAATTTATGATCAACCAGAACAAAAAGAACTACTGAAAAATAATTAAGATTAGTTGAAAAGCACTTTACATGCATGTGAAAGAGCTAAAGGCTTCTTTATTTTGATTAAACAGGAAAAAAGGTTGAACCTTCTGAATTTAAAAGCCCTTTCTAGGATCTTCTATCACTTTATTTCTCTTTTCACTTAAGGTAGCATTGAGTGAATTTAACTTCATATTTCAAAAGATTAAATTACAAAAGAAAAAGAGATGGGTTATATATTTGCACAGGTCCCACTTAATATTGCACCCCAAATTGTTTAATACTTGGGAGAATGCCAACACAAACACTAAAAATGTGTAACCTACCATACCTAGCTCTACCTATTCATTAAAATTCTGCAATTATTTTAAACTCCTCCCTATTTGTAATAATTAAATTGTTAATCAACATGGCTTATTGTGACAGTTTCTGCGCCATGTATGAAGAATAAGGACCTGCACACACAAGTGCCCTCAATCCCAGTGATGTCTGACCAACTGCAGAATGCCAGACTTAGCTAATGGAACAGCCCATACTGTCTGGACTACAGGGCTCTACAGGCAAACCATGTATTCATCTCACCTCCTCCTGAGAAATATCAGCCCCCAAAGATGATCCCATTCTTCCTTTCATTACTCTTCCTCCACCACCAGTCATTGTACCTGTAGCAACATTCCAGTTGTTACTATAAACATTACCTTTAAACTGATGACAAAATGGATAATAAAAACAAAACTATCATGAGACTGTCTAAACAATGATTAAATCGCGGTATAAAACCCCCAGAAGATAATCTGATTCCACCAGGAATATAAACAAAAACTTAAAAGTTTATTAAATACAATGAAGTTCTTACCAGACTGTTCAATAATTTGGCCTTGCAACGTGACCACTCTCCAACGTTTATCCTTCTGGAAGGCCAGTCTGGTAGCTTGCTCTAAGTTGTCAGCCACGAGGGTATCGCGCAAGGCAAAATAAAAAGCTGGACGTACTGCCTCATCCTTAACCTTCACCATATCAAAAAGCCTTGGAATGTTCTCAGGAGTCTGAATCTTTCCCATACTTCTCTCCCAAACCTTCATCTATAGGACAAAAAAGTTTAAATCAAGGTTTAATTTCTAGGTGTAGGTTAGATTGCTTTTAAACCACACTTTCACTTTTGTAACACCAAGTTAATAAAAAACTTGAAACATGATTACTAAGCTACTAAGTATGCTGTTAAACCTATCTACAAAAAACTGGGTCCCACAAAATCCATTTATTATTAAGTTATTGTTTTATAATGAGAGATGCTGAAAGCAAAGATTGTTCTGGACATAGTTCTCATGGAATAAACACCACTTTGAATTGCACAGTAATGCTCCTCACACCTTTTTTATTATTTGTAACAATACAATCATTACAAAATTCCAGACCTACCTTATCTAACCCAATGAAGGTAGCAACACCAATATTTTGCATCTTAAGAAAATTAACGCATTCTTGAGCTGTATCAATGGTGTCAACAAGTATATTGTCCAAGGACCCACAACTTGAAGAAATAGCAACGTCATACTTTTCATCTATAGCTCCAAGGTCACCCTGAAGTAAACAAATGCAACATTCACAAAAAGAATAAATGAAGTTAACAAAAGCAAACTGAAAAGGGAACAAAAGAACTCACAGGGTACCTTAATTATCCACTCCTCTAACACTGGACAATAACTTGGGAACAAAGGATGAAGCACCTATACATAAAGTATTCATTTTTCATGGGAAAAATAGTTGATGTCAACCTCTTAAGTTAAACATCAGTATTTATCTTCACATTATTGAATACATGTATAACGTATGTGCTTATCTCTTTCAATTTAAAACAAGACTCAATATCCTGTAGTTTTCCAAAGTATCATAGGCATTACTGATAAATGTCACCCTACTTTTCATGCAAGCATCATGTTCTCCTTACCAATCTCCCCAAGATTCCCGGAATTTTTCCACTCTTTTTTTGTTGCATGAGTGCATCCAAGACCTTGCCTCGACTGCGGTTTGATGACAGGCAACTTTTAGCCTCTTCAACTTTCTGACGTAGTTCTTTAACTACCTTCATTGTCTCTCCTTCAGTTTTTAGGATTTTATCAAGATCACCTTCATCCTTTTTAAAGTGGAGAAAATACCAGTATCAGAATATATTTAGATTCTTAAAGAAATGCAATTTCAATAAAAGGTTTTCCTACCCTTTTCAGTTCTTCCTCACACTTTGGTATTTTAATTTCAAGCTCTTTAATAGCTGATTTTCTTTCCTTAAGGGTTTCTGTGGCTGTTTGTAAGGCCTCCTTAGCCTTGTTGAGCTGGGTCAAGGCTGTATTATGACGACTGAGGTAAATATCAATTTCAGACTGGGCAACATCCATCTTGGAACGAGTTTCATTCACAGCTTTACTCAACTCCATCAGCTCTTTCTCCTTTTCCTAAGTCCAAGAAAAGTACAATTAATTGTTCCAGTTCAAAAATGTCTTGAGGGACAATGTACAAAACCAATAACTAACCTCTTTCTCTTGCTGTAGTCCTTGAGTTTCTTGTTTTAGGCTTTCCATTACTTTCTTTAGCTTTTCTTCCTCAACTACTTTTTGTTTCTCATGCTCCTCTTTTCTTGCAGTTGCTTCTAAAATAGTTTTTTCACTATTAGCAGGTACATTCTTGAATTCTTCAACCTAATGTTAAGAAAAATAAATATGAACATGAATTTAAATGTCAACCTGCACTTAAAATCTCTGAAAATGTTACGATCTACTGATATTTTTTTAAGGACAAAGATCAAACCTTTGCAACACTAAACACTGCTATCTCATCAGGAACACTTTATCTTGATTGTTGAACACTATACATTTCAACAGTAATCAAAGAATGAGACAGCCCAAAAAAACATTTCTGATGGATAATCTTTTGTGCAACATCTCAGCACATTGACTCCTTGCATTAAAGCAATTTAGTTTGTTTTGAAATCTTAATTAAAAACTATAATGTGCAGAATAAAAGCTATACAAAACCATACCACATTAAAAGCTACAGCTCAAAAGGTTGAATACATGGATTTTCATTTTGAGGTGCCATGGATAAGCAGGTCCAAAGTCAATTTAGTTGAACAAGGCCTATTTAATTATGTTTTTTCTTCTAGAAAAGTTACTGGTTTCTTAGCATTCTTTATCATATTCGAAAGTTTGTATATTAGAGAAGGCTCATCTACCTCTTTGGGTTATTAGCCATTCCCTTTCAGTGCATAATGGAACAACTTTTCACTTACATTTATTCTTTCAAAAGATTATTTTTTAAGACTGGATGAATAAAAACTTAGAATTTATGTAGTGAAAAGTAAATCCAGTTTCACTCTCTAGCAGCACTTCAATTTTTTTTATAACTTTTACATTGCACCTTGTTGAAGGAAAACTATTTCAGTGGTTACCTCTGTACTGAACAGGACCTAATTTACTGAATTGAGACTCTTAAAATAAATTGCTTCTTTGGTTCTTTACACTTTAGCAACCTCCATTGTTAAAAGTTTGGGGCATAAAAATGTTCAAACAACTATATATGAAATTTTGTCAGGCAAATGCAAAAGAGTATATGAAATTCTAAATTCACAATGCACAAAGCTCTACTTCAAACTCATCAGGCATGCTGCAAACTCAATCTGACTGGGAAGCTGGGAATTCTTCACTTAAATTATTCCTGTTGATTCAATATATCCATGCTAATACACAAATTCTCAAAGAAAAATGCGAATAGGCAAGAAAGTCATCCCTATTACAACCTTTTCTTTGTCCTTTTGCAGTTGCTTCTGGAGTTTCTTCACTTTGCTTTTCGAATGCTTCAACTTTTCTCTCACTTCAACATCTTGTAAGTCCAACTGGGTAAATTTCTCCTTTCTTTCTTCGATATACTTTGTGATTTTTGCAAGTTTTCTGTAGGAAAAAAGGATTTAAAACAGAAGCACATTTACAATAAATACAACTGATAAAGAAGTGTATGATTATATTTATAGGTAATTTGATCTCAAAGGGAAAAAAAAGTGGGAAATGTTGGCAAACAAAGCATTTTATTTAAGTGTCCTCCAAGCCCACCATAAACCAGCTGCCTCTTTCCGCATAAACCTAATCAGCAAATCATATCCAGCAAGATGACACTGATCTTCCCTTTGTGCTCCCTGGAGCTGATAGAATGAGTCAAAGCTTTCTCACCCAATTTTCCTGCTTAAGGGAAACTCAGTCTGAAGATTTTTTCCTAATATGTGCAAACATGATTGAAAAAAAGTTGCAAAGAACTGTCCAGAATTTTAATGTACCTCTATTCCACATAAATAAAATGTCAATTGGTAAAACAAATGGTTTTCAGACTATAAATTTTTAACAGCAGAAATCAGACTAAGATGTCAGCTAATAACACCAGATTTTTATTAATGATTGAATACTACATTAAAGTTGGTATCTCAGATCAGGATTATTCTATGTTTATATTAAAGCAGCCTATCTCCACCCAAAACACAGTAAACTTACTTTATCACTACGATAAACATTGTTCAATGAAACCTCAATTATCAAGACTCATTTGCAAGATATAGAACAGAAGTCCTTACTTTTCAACTTCTTTCAAGTCCTTGTTCTTAACCTTCATCTCCTCAGCAAGTTTGGTATTTCTTTCATTTAGTTCTTTGGTCTCCTCAAGGATCTTTTGCTTTTTAGTTTCTTTATCAGCAACTTTCTTCTGCAGCTCATGGCTAGAAAAAAATATAACATGACATTAGAAGATAAAGTAAAGTAAAATTTGAAAATATCAACAGAGGATAAATCACAATCTAATTCATAGTTCTGCAAATTAATATCAAAACCAAGTTTTACTAGAAACAAATACAGAAAATACAGAAAAAAAATATGCAAGTCATAAGGAAAGCATATGAGAAACTGATATAAAACCCCACCTGAAAATAAACTGATCAGCAACCTCTTTAATAACTCTGGTTATTACTAAAAATACATAGGAAACTGACTTGGGAGACCTCCATTTTCATATTTTTCCACACAATCAAATATCTAAAAAAGGCATAACATTTTCCTAACACTGCTAGGTGGAGATCTGTTCCATTTAAATGAGCAGAACATCTTTCATAGAAACTAGTTCACCTGAATGACATGAGATTACAAATTGTCATATCTATAACCCATAGAAACTAGTGAATGATGTAGTATTTCAGATTTTACATCTTAACTGAGCACATCCCAAAGTAACTTTTTTTTATTTCTAGTACAGTAAACATGCAGTTCCTTAAACTTATTTTCATACATACTTCTCATATTTAACCATTGAGGAAGGTCTAAAACTTTAAAATACTTACATGTAATACTGACAAACATGATTCTTTTTTTTAAAAATTTCATTCTCTAGTTTGAGGAACTCAATAGCACAGTTCTTCTCTCCTTCCAAAGCATTTTTCTCTTTTTCAACCATCTTCACCCTATTAAGCTAAAGAATAACAATGCAGATTCAGATATTTTATAGTCCAAATCTTGTTGTCACACATCTGTGAACAATCTGTGAATTTGTTAATACAAAACTACTTAAAATACCTTATCAAAATGTACATTTAAACCTAATACAGCAACTTCTTATGTTGGGTTTATGGCATAACTAAACATATGAAATTAAGTTTGCTTAGTTTTTATTTTTATTAAAATATAAATTATCTACCAAAACAGGTAAAACCTCTAATACTCTCTAAATTTGTGACCCAAAAATAAAAAGATCAAGAATAAAATGTTTTACTTAAAAATCACGTGCAGTATGTAATAACACTATGAGAGATGTGGAACATACAATGCCTAAAATAAAAACTGTCCTTTTTTTTTTTTACTACTGACTGCAACCAAATTATTCTGGCACAATAGCACAAGAACCTAGGGGGGTTACCTAGATACAGCAATTCCTGCAGTAGGACGAGTGTGTGCCTTACTTCCTTGTAAGGAAAAGCAGGTGTCAGAACTGGCTGTTTCGTTTGGCAAGAATACGTTAAAGTTATCAAAATAAACAGAGAAGCCCCTGCAGGCCCTTGCAAAACAGAAAGATGTCATATTGTGTCAGTGAAGAATCAGATTTGGCTAAAATTAAAATTGTTATAACATTATGAACTCCCTTAAATTCTGAAAAAGACCATGTTTTGAATAAATGGAAATTAAAAAAACATGAGCGCTTCTATAGAAATCAAAACAAGTCAAATTAGTTTTAAAATACATCACTGACAACAAAGCACACAACACAATTATAGCAATGAAGTCACCTTCACATTATTCAATACATTAAAAGCCTAGGTTCTTTTCAGAGATTTTATTCTGTTTTAAAACAGGGAAAACAAAAGTAGCATGTTAAATGCACTTGAACAAGCTTACCTTTTCTCCCCTCTGCTCATTTAACAATTCAACTCTGCGGCAAAGAATCTGAATGGGCTCTTTAAGTCTCCAGGATCCAATGATATCCTCAAGATATTCCAACATGCCTTCATCCTGTTCAGTTTGGCCTTTAGGTTTCATCATGGCAATCTGTTCAACTTCACCCTATACATTCCCCCAAAGCAAAAGTAGTCCATTAAAATGTTAATTATTTAAAATGAAACAAAATCCCATAATTTGTACACAAACATAACATTTATCCTTGCATTTTACCAACAAATATTTTCAAATTATTTTTCAATTAATTCACAACATATCAGTTTATACAGATACCCATATTCCTAAATACAGAATTAATTCAATTAAATGTGTTCTATTTATATGCCTGTGAAGTACACACAAAAGTTTGTGCATGTCCAGCAATCACATATTTTAGAATTAAAGCTGAAACTAATACAAATGGGTACTGGCTTCCATGCATCGTTTATTGGGCAGACAAATTAATTCCATTAAAAATATTTTTTTTTTATTTAAATTCATTTGTGTAAGCATGACTTCCTTCTTTCCTTAAGATGCAATTAATACTGTTCTCTCTTAGCAACATACTTTATGTTTAACATACATTATGCGTTCTTTAAAATCCATATATTTCAGTCTCGCCAGGTGTAATCTTTTAAATTTCTTCATACTAATGCAGTCGTCTAACACAAAAGCGTTATAGTAACTAAATAAATTGATTGAAAATTAGTAAAAATATACAGATCAAAAAGCCACTGAATATGGTATTTCTTCATGTGAAATATCATGATCTTCCTTCCTCTGGTTATACTATGTCTCAATGTAATAACATCACCTTTACACCACACCAAAGGATCAAACCCATACTTCACTGGCCAGAAAGCATGTTATCCACAGTATCACTAGCTGACACGCAGGAGCCACAAGGCCCCATCCTAAATATATAAAAGACAGATTTTCACACTCCTTAAATCTTTGTTAATATGGAAACAATACAAATTGTGCAGTAAATTATATTAATTCCAGAAACAGTATTTCAAAATTGTAATATTTAGAACTGCATTTTCATCTGCACCTGGAAAAAAACTAAATCTATGGCGAAGCATTTAAAAAAAAATACAGAAATGCAAGTACACAGTAATACACCGTACTAGTCAATTTCTATCTTTTTTGAGGACGTTTAAAAACTATCACACTATTTAAATTAAATGCCAAACAATTGTTCTATATATTAAGCAGCTTTATTTTAAAAAATACAATGTGAAAATACAACTGTAATTCTTATAGAAAAGCATTTTCCCCTAAACATAAGATCTTCTCATTTTATAGCCACACGCATGTCTTAAAAAGTATTTTATAATTCTTAATGAACACTCATATTTATATACAGTACTTGTGAAAAAAATAAATGATATATTATGTTATCACAAAAGAAGCTTAATCCTGCCACACTGAAGCAGCACAAGTAATATTGGGGTTTGGGTCTTATTTCTCACACACCAATAATTACGTGCTGCTAAAGCGGAGAAGGTATATTAATTTTTAACTACTGCACTGCCTTGCATTGTAGCCACTGGTTTATTAAGATTTTAAGCTTCTGCATTTTCCTTAAAATTCTAAAGCAGCAAATAATGGTTCGCATCTTCACTACAGTGTTGCAAACCATGATGTGCTGCTACAGCACTTTAAGGCCTTCAAATATTCAGCCATGAGAAAATATCTTGTCATAATATTGTACCCTACATCAATACAACTGAATTTAGTGGAAAAAGAAAGAGTGCAAATACAATTACCTGTAAAATCAAAAATCTGTTGTGGTCCAAATCTATTCCATGGCTACGAAGTAAAATTCCAACATCTTTGAAGGTCGCTTTTTTTCCATTGATGTGGTATACTGAAGAATTATCTTTGCAGGCAGTTCTTGAAACACAGAACTTGCTGTCAGGGATGACTTCATAATCATCTCCTTCCTAAAGGGGAGGAGGGTGGATACATACAGTTATAGCTAATCAATTTAAACAGCTAATTATTCAAACAACAACAAAAAAACAAGGAAAACATTACAAATCATTTTTTAATATTTTACCAAATGACACTGTTGAACGTTTTATAAACACAGCAAAGTAGGACTGGAGAAAATCTGAAACAGGAGGATTTTTAAATTCAATAACTATTGCTGAAATAGTCAAACTTTTTAACCAATAATAAATATATTTTTTATTAACAGTAAAATAACACAAGATCTTAATTCTACAGCTACCACTCTAAACATATAAGAAATGCCTTAAAAAATTAAACTCAAGCTAAAGCAAACTATAATAGGGTCCAGCAATTTTTCGATGTGGCAGAAATTACTTGCTGATTTCCAAGGTAACAAAGAATGATCCCTGATTAATATCAGACGGGTGGAAAAATGCAAACTAAACAGCAAATGTTTACTTCATTTTGACAGCCCTTGTCATTTTGCTTAACTCTACTTTTCTTTGACAATGTTTGAAAAACAAAACCTTCCTCTGGGGAATGCACATTCATAAAATTCACCACTAAATGACAACAAAAGCAAAAAGCAGATTAATAATCATGTCCTAAACTATAAGCAATAATTCTGACCCCTGAAAATGGACTGTACAACTTTATGAATAAAATCCTAGGACAGTAAAAAACAGAAAACAAATAATTAATGATGATGAAAAATCATTTAAATAAAATTAAAATATGAATAAATTATTTTAACAGCAAAATTCCAATTTAAGGAACTATCTGGTAATGATTTAAAGATTATTCCTTCTTGACATTTTTACCATATGCAAAATACAAACATTTTCATGTGCATAATTGTCTTTTCACACTAAATTATCTGTAAAATGTCAACAAACCAAAAAAGATTGGACAATTCAATTCTTAGCACTGTACTCGTGGGACATTGTCACCGAATGATAATACTAAAGCAGAAATTCAAGTTTTTTTAATTCCCATATTGTATCACAATTTAACAATGTTTGAAATGAAGTCTTTTTCATCCGCATTTCTTTTATCTCAATGAGATGTTAGTTAACCTTAATACTAAAGCAAAGTTTCTGATGCATTCTGGCAATGGGATAAAAACATAAAATATTTACCTTGTCAATTATCTTTTGGAAGTGAACTTCCACAGTGCAACATTGTATATCTTTATGTTTATCTGAATTGTGAATGAGCACTGAAAGTTTTTTGGATCTGATCTTTTGGGCCCTGTATCCAAATACGAAAAGCATTGAATCTATCACATTGGATTTTCCACTGCCGTTTGGACCAATAATGCAGGAAAAGCGCTGAGGGAAGAAAACAAAACCATTGAATTGTTTTAGAAACAAGTTTTTTTTTAAAACAAATGCACAGTAGTGAGGAAACTGTTGAATGTCAATGAAGAGATTAACAAGCAAACTTCATTCTACTGAACAACTGCAAGAAAATCCAAAAGAAAAGAAAATACACCACTGTCTAAAACACACTAGTTGTGTTCATTTTATTTTCCAAAGCAAGCATATACAGGAAACTTTAAATAGTTTATGAATTTTAACAATTTTATAAAATAAGCCCCCTTCTCAACATAAAATTAAGACAGAATGTGTACTTAACACTCAAAATTTCCCACCCAGAGATATTAGTTACATACATTTTTAGAAGGTTCTGGAGACCAAAACTGCTAGGAAACTGTTATACCTAGAAAGTGGACACTTAATGCAAAGTGAGCTCTCTAATTTCCCATCTGATACCCTGCATTTACAACTCTCTTTACATGTCTTTACCTTATGAAAAGGCCCCAGGATCTGTTCACCAGCGTATGATTTAAAGTTGCGATTAACAATGTGAGTTATCATCAGACGAGGAGCCCCCGGTTCATTGGTCATTGCTGGGGGTGGGGGAGGAGGGATGCTACTCAAAATCTCCTCTAAACTTCGATTATCAACCGCGTCTGCTGTCGCTCCGGGACCTGCATCTAAGTTGAAAAGTGGACATTAAAAGTTCAGTTTCAAGCAACACTGGTGTCGTGAGTGGGGGTGCGGGAAAGCCAACCGCCGTTCTGGTCACACTGGCAGAACAAAGACAACGAAAAACATCGGAAGTTAAATCCTAAGTGCAAATTCATAGTCAGTGCGCTTTTAAACATTCGTCGATATAACATTGCTGGAAATCAACCATTCAAGCGCATTTTTTTTTTACAATATTAACATTTTAATTGTCTTCACGAGAAATGTTCAATATAAAACTCTTACAAACGTCAAGCACAGTTTCAAACTAATTTGGATAGCAAGATTTGCTGTTTAAAAATTACACACCGTTGCGATTTCAACAAACGTCTGATTGCAAGCTCTTCAGACCTTACATAAGTTATTACTAACAAGAAAGACAATGCACTGGTACGGACATCATTGTTTCTGCCCTGAAAGACCAATTCCCAACTTTCCTCCTCTTAAAACACAGGGATCGAAAAGTATCGAAAAGTACTCGGTCATCAGTAACCCACTCCTGACATCACGAAATTTCTACTTGTCAAATACCAGATAAAGGTGGGGGGTAAAAAAATCAACAAACGTCGTTCATGAAAGAACTCCAGGAAAAAAAATTAAACTTGTCATCTCTCCGGTAACTTTGAACCTAAAGTACACGAAGCACCAATAAATCAAGAGACTGTCCGTGGAAACAGTTTGGACATCACAATACTGTATCATTCAACACTGCTATGCCCAACTCCTCAGATCCGTGCATTAAAAAGTGCTTTTTAGCCGCCCAGCAACTCCCTTCTCCCCAGTGCAGTGCAGTGCAGTGTAACTCACCCTTCTTCTGTGGTGCTACACTGCCATCTGAGTTGGGTTCTCCAGGGGGTACTTCCATCTCGTCCGCGGACTCATCCTGGGGCTGCGCCCCTTTGCCTTTCGGCTGGGCAGCAGTTGAGCTTTTTGTCGTTTTGGAGGGCATTGCTATAATCTGGAGGGGGAGATCTCACATCAGAACAAATCCCCAAGAGAAGGGAGGACAGATCTCCATCGCAACGCTTCTCCACTTGTCAAGTTCCTTCGTCAGCCCTCAAAGGGGGCATTTCACGATAATCCGTCTCAAAGGACCACGGAACCCGCATTTTCGGCCGAAGACCTTAGGTAGGGCTACCAGTGCACATCACACTTAAAAGAGCAACATTATCCTTTTTTTTGAAGGGGAAAACATCCTGAACATAAAAAAAAACCCAGCATGGTGTATCCTATGATCTAGCCGCATCCACAAATTTGCAGGAAAGGAAGTTGATTCGTCGGCAGATATTTTCTTCTGATTTCATTTAATAAGAAGTGGACTGATAACTGGATTGCACGCATCAGGCACCGCGTCACGTTACCCCCACATAACAAGAAGGAAAAAAAAAACCCCGTGACGTCTTTAACAGAGACTCCGGAGCGCACATTACTAACACAAAACAGCCAGAATTACAAGTTTATCTTTGCAAACAAAATGCAAGTCCCGTAGGTTTCCAGGCGGCCAATCGTGGGCTTTTCTCTAGCACGCGTTGAAGAAAAGTTAATTTTGATTGGTCAGATTCGAATCGTAGTAAAAATGTTTTAGTTCTGTCGCGCAATGGATCCACCATCTCCACCAACGGGGAAAATCAAATGAAACGGTTGATTTTTTTTTTCTTCATTTTCGATACTTGAAACACGCAAGTGCTACCTCACAAAACGGCTGTCCAAACGAAAGCGACCCCCGTTACCGCTACTGTGACTTCATCTATCGACACGGGTGTATCGTCAATATTTATTTTTGTATTTTTTTTTAAATACAAATACGTCAATGATTTAGAACGTCTTGGAAACCCCCCCCCCCCCCAAAAAAAAATCAAGTTCCCCAAAAACTCAATTAAAAAAAAATCTTCGGAACATCAACAACAATGCAACGAAAGCAACATTAACATACATGAAATCACAGATATAAAATAAATTCACTGCCAGGGTCTCCGATTGACGAGTTATTAGAAAGTACTAGCTTAATCCGACAAGATAAACATTTAGTGATAACTGAAAGTAAAAAAAAAACAACTAACATTCACAGCTACAGGCACGAACAAGTGTGAGATGCGAAGAAACTGAAAAGCTAACAGCTATGTGAATTCGGCCGGAGCAAAGCTTTAGAGTAATTTTCAGTCACCAGATAAACGCTTTCTTTTAGCAAGCACTGTAAGAGTCGTCCTTCAAATGTGTTTACAAATAACCCCCCTCCTCCTCCTCACCGGTCCGTCAAGTCTGCTAGAATCCGTCCCGCTAAAAATATTCTTGCTCTAACAGCGTTTACCCTTAACTGTACGTCACAAAGAAACCCAAGTACCTCAGATCGGTGTCCTAATTTTTTTCCGTATTTTTCAAGAGGTTTTTAACGCAATCCAGGGAAGGAGGCCAACAGAAAAAGAGCCCAAATGTGTAAAATATCAGTCTCTTCTCATCCCCACTCCCAACTCCCAGCGCAGCTCCTCACTCGAAAATGGCGCCGAAAAGCTGAAGTCAAACCGAAATTCGTTACAAACCGGCGCGAGGCATCCTGGGAACTGCGCCGGGCGAGAAAATAAGAAATTTCAAAAAAAAGGGGGCCGAAGCCAGCTCTTGACCGTTTTCATAAACACCCTTGTTAAAGATTTTTCAAGGTCAGTCCCGTCATTTAACTTACAAACCCCGTGCGAACACCCTTGAATGGCGAGATAAAAATAACAACGGACTTAATTACAATATATTTTCGACTTATCTGTCATTACGTCTTAGGTCTGTTGCCTAGAAACCGGGAGAGCGGCGGGGGAGGAGTTTTGACATACATATTATTAATGTCTGTTTTTACGTTGGTCTTTTTTAATTCACAATCGCAGAAAATCATTTTTATATAACATTAGGTTTGTTATTTCTATTTTAAAAGACACTTTTCCTCCTTCCGTTCTGTTGCTTGGTTCGTTGCCAAAGAAACGGGGTGTCTAGTCTCGCGATACAGTCAAGACGGCTCAACCAGAGAAGACTGGTAAGTTTTTCCGTAGTCTAATGAAATTTGTGCAGTACACATGTATTTTTTCCTTAACCCGTGAAAATTGTCGATTGGCATACTAAAATAAATGGAGTTTTTAGATATGACTGTATAATATTAAGTTGTGTTTGGTATTGTTTTACAAATATTCCAGGAAGTTTCATTGCCCTAGCAACGGGATGCTTGTTTTTATTATTCTGCAAATGAATATATCAACAGATATTTTTTATGCATCAATGACAGCGGGTCGATAACATACGTAAAGTTATATATACCCACTTGTGGTTTACAATTCACGTTGTTTTTCACAACGTCATTTACATAATAAATACTTAGAAAATCTGGGAGCACACATTCCTAAATATGCCCAAATTTCACTTTTCAACTTTGAGCTGTTCTTTAATACATGCATGCACGCCATTATTATTATCTTCATTTTATTGCTTGTGTTTACCGGACGTTACTGCAGTTTACCGACACCCTGTTCTCACTTTAAATAAACCTTCAAGATGTTTTAACGTGGCATTTTAACAAAGAGTGTGAAGTATAAACGTTTATAAACCATGTAAACGTTAACTGTATGTATTGAACCTGAAGAAAAATCCCACACGTGCAACCGTAAAATAACAGGAAACAGACATAAAAATATAAAATGTAGACCAGGTGCTTAATCTTTAATTTTCTGCAATTTATTGGAGCTGTGGACGGTTATGTTTTCCTGTAATAAAGACACCTATGATGAGATAATAGCTGTTTCTTTTCTTTTTATTTTGCTTAATCCTCTCCCAATAGGTCCTGAGTATACAAGTGACACGGGCTTCTAATAAATCGCTACCATGAGATTAAAGACATCAATCTTGAAGGAGCCTAAACATATCCTTTAAACATATGTAACGAACGCTGTAAAGAATAAGACTAACCATAACTATGCTATTTTGTTCCTGACATTTTCTTCCAAAGCACGTACTTGAAATGTATTTAAAAATCCAGTGTAGGATTTAAGGATTTACGATTATTGATAGGATTCTTCCTTTCTGTATCGCTCCAGAAGTTACCAGTTAATTAACAGAATAATAATATAGAGTCCTAAAATTCAAACTAACTTTGTTGTTCAACGTAAAAAATCATACAGCCAGTTTCTGATTTAGTTTGAGATGTGACATTGTTAAAGTTGTTTATAGTGTGAGGAAGAAAAGTGTTTTTTACAAACATTAGAAATCAATTACCCATGTAATGAGTGGGGGATATGTTAGTTTCTTCCTAGATAAGTATCAGATTTGGGTATTGATGAAATCTCCCAAGTTTCAATTCAGTCTGTGAAGTTTTTTTCCCCAAGACTGGGGCGGTTCGAATATTGATAAAAAAAGCGATCAGGGGACCATATTAATTTACAGTGGAGCCTTATTTCATCATGTTGTAACTGCATGGTCACTAGAATTGATGTCTGCCAAGTAAGCTTGGGCAATATGGTGATGTATATCACATAACGGAATTCAAATGAAGCATCCTTTAAAATAGAACCCCTTTCTCTTCTTTCTTATATATTCTTAAATCACCTTCTGATAACCCAAGATTGTCGTTTACTTTGGAAATTTCAGTTGCTGCTTGTGTTAATACCAGCTTCTTGACTTATTTTGTGTAATTTCCAGGAATTTACAGTACAGTGTTTTGAATTATATCACGTCTATAATCTATTAACTCACATAAATAATTGTGCTCATCAATCATTACCATCTGCTTTATATACCATTCCTCCAATCTACTTGTACTGTGCCTTAACCATGAGGATGTATTTTATAACATAAAATGTTTGACTGGAAGCTGGAATGCTGACATAGATTAAAGCAAACACATTTCCTGCCCTTTACAATGCTGTCCTCAGGCAAATACTGCCTTTCCTTTGGAATGGTCCTGTGCTGGTATACTGTAGCTGTCTTTCTGTTTACTACCTTGTTTATAGCATCACCCCAGGACACTGCCAATGTCAATGCCTGTCCCAAACGTGGGGGAATAGTGAACGAGAACTGAAGCTTATAATGTCTTATTAACTTAGATTTCATCATTAATATTCTGAGAAAATATTGCCATTACTTTAAAAAAAAATCCATGTACCATGATTTCCATTCATTCTCTGTTCCGAGTACCCAATTACAATAAGGTTGCAATACTACCGAACCTTGATAAACATTACGCAATATCATGATGTGTATATTCTGTACCATTTAAATATTGTGGTATAGATTTTTTAAACATATCGCCCACCCTTACTGTTACGTTTGGAGGTAAATGATCGAACAGTTTTCGAAAATAAGTTTGCACTGTGGGCAATATGGGCCATTGTTGTTAACAAAATGGAAATCAGCTCATCCTGGTTTATACAGGAACCCCATTTTGCCATATTGAAATTGTACTATTACTGGAGTGATACTTGGCAAGTATAGAGTTCATTGGGCAGCCATATTTTTTAAGTAGTAGAAGTTTGAAATATGTTCTGTGTTTTGACAAAATGTTGCTGACCTTGTAATAGGTAGGGATGTAATAGTTGTCTCAGCAACTTGTGAGATGCAGATCTGAAGAAGATCTGGAAGTCAATGAAGTCTGCCATGTGTCAATTCAGACTGTGCTGCAGGCTGACAAAATGGCGGCCAGAGTTATTTATGATGATTACAGTGTTATAATAATCATTTTATTGTCACCATAATGATACTTTCCTACTATATTCGTCCCACATTAAGTATCATTCTATTGATAAAAAGGTCATAAACATTTCCCCAGTAACTAATGAAGCACAGATCTGAAGCACAGTTTCAGTTCATTCAGTGCACACAGTACACAGGTCAGGGTGCCATCTCGCTTGATGCACCACCAAAGTTTGGGTTCTATAGCGATTGCCTTATCTGCCCCACTGAGTTTAACAAATTTTAGATTGCCTAAATTTCCCGGTTTTTAAAGAGAGCCAATTTGAAATTTATGAAGAAAACAAAAATCTGTACAACCATAATTGGCCACTGTTGCTTAGAAGTTTAATAACTAGTGAGAGATATTAGATTTCAATACTGACTTTGTTTTAAGTTTAACTTTTATTGTCATTTACATAAATATCCCAAGTGCGTATGCTGATGAATCTTAAAAATTCTCACCTAAAAAAATATTTTGAAACAAGATTAAGATTAAATTTGTCCTCCTAATATAAGTACGATTATGTTTTATTGTATGTTCTTTTTTGAACTTTTGTGTAATTAGATAATAACATTACAGTTAAATCAGATCGTAAATGATTGCTGTGGATATATGTCATACAAGTTTAACTTGGGTGGAGTTTAATGTTAATTTAATATTTTAAGTATTTTAAGTCATATATATGGTACTGGGAATAAACAGTAGGCTGGATTTATTTTTCTGTGAGTCTGCCATATTGATAGACTGTAGAGATACACACATAAAACAATTGACTATCCAAATGAGGACTCAGGTCTTTAATTCTGCTGTAAAAGTCCTTTACTCTTTTCAACTTAAAGAAGTTAAAAACATGCTTCATTGACCAGAAATTCATTCTGTGGCAGATGAGAAGTCTGATGCACACTTTGAAGTGTACAGTATAACATGTACTAAGACCACCCTCGCTGTGTTCATAGGTGGTCTTAAAATAAGGGGGCTTAGACATCAAAGTTATGAAAGTAAAATAAATTTGGAAGTACAGAAAAAATAAAACTATGCTCTTTTCTACAAGGAATTAAATTGCATTCTAAAGGCAAACTTTAAGCACAATTCAGTAGTTAAAGGCTGACTAACATGGTTGAGTAAAATACTTTAATACTATACTATAAAATGAAAAGTGAGCTCATTAAACTTTACGTTTTAAGATCAGAAAATGCAATCTTGTTCTCTGATAAAAAGTCTTATACGTCATTTTGTTGCTCACCTGTATTTTTGTGTTCTGATATTAATTCTACTTAGAATAGAGGAGAAAAACATTTTCATGAATCAAGAATTGTATATAGTTTAATATAGAATTGGTTTATGTTTAATATTTACTTGTCAAAAATTGAACAAAAAACAGATAACCTCAAATTGAGCTTATTGTGCTTTGAGTGTTTCCATTTCTAAAATACAAGCAGAGAAAGGAAGTCAAGTTCTTTTGCAGTCATCGGGGGTAAGAGGCAGAAAAAATCACATTTTCCTTGGTGTGAAGCTTTGCCAGTGTGGTTGAAATAACAAGGAAATGATATGTGAAAGAGTATTGTGGCCTCAGCTAAATTTGCCATAGACATTAGTGTAAATCGCAGTACCTCAGAATTTTAAATAATTTAGAATTTGGCAGCTTAAACAGGTGAAAGAATAAATTAGATCTGATTTTAAACATTATTGTTGAGGTGTGAAAATTAGCCTTTTTATTTCACTCAAGGAATCAATGTCTTTGAAATGTCATGAATGCTTATTTTTCAATGAAAAATTGTGCATTTTCTTCCATTGCCACTTTCTATGACTTTCTTCTTTACTGTTTTTCTTAATAACCCTGTACATAAAGAATTAGTTAGCTGTGTTGGCTGGACCACAGCAGATGAGCTCTACTCCTGTAGTGAAGATCATCAGATCCTCAGATGGAATCTTCTGACAAATGAGACGACACTAGCAGTGAAACTGCAAGTGGACATTTACCCAATAGATCTTCACTGGTTTCCCAAAACTGTGGGAGGGAAGAAACAAGCACAGGCTGAGGTCTTTGTGCTTACTGGTACAGATGGTAAGATTTTGTTGAATGACATTAGATCATGGATTTGTATCCTTTGTTTACTGTCTTCACTCTATACATATATAGGTCAATATAGGGTGATATAGGTTAATATATAGAAATATAGATTATATAGGTAACTGAATGTTCAAATAAATAAGCCTTTGTGTGTAGCTCTTATATATGTACAGATGGTAGTTTCCCAGAATTTGTGCTTTTACTCTAATATGACTTTGCAGTTGTTTTAAAATGGGTCTACAGTTTTAAATTAAAGTTTAAACAGAAGTAGTATTTGAAATGTCCATAATGATGCAAGCAGGTTGTGAATTTGTTTATTTTTTTTAATGATGTCTGTTCTTCACATACTGTATGTGCTTGAAATTTATGTGAAAGTTTTAAGTAAACTGTAAAATGGCAGAGGAAATAGTCCATTAGTGGATTTGGTTAATTAGAAGATGGGATTACAATGTCTGCACTTTCTTAAAAAGATATTTACCCACAGTTTTATTTCCTTCTATTGTCTGCTTAGTACAGTATGCAGTTAGTATAATTTATATGGGAAGATCTGAGCAGGAAATATAGCTAAAAACAAAAGCTAAAACATCTATACCAAGAAATTAAATGAGAAAAACAGTTTACATAGATGTTCTTTTCAGTCATGATTCTGCTTTAAGGGCCAATAAAGTACAATAGAATAGCTGTGCCCTTCTCGTGTCCATGAATGATTTTGTTTTTGATATAATTTAACTGATAAAAACAAGAAAGTAAAACGATTCTTATGAATTTGTCATGGCAAAACCTTTTTAATCTTCTATTAATGAGTGGGAACATGTAAACAAAATAGAGAATACAGAAATTGAGATTGTTAATAATCAGGGCTTTGTGTCTAATGAAAGCATATACTGTAGTTAGAAATGTATGGTAATATGCCAGATATTATGTTCTAAACTCAATTCTCAACTGAAACATTTTTTTCAGGGATTTCTGGTTTCTGATGTGTAGTACCTTATGTTCAGACTGAAGCACTACTGTGGTTCATGATTTTTATGCAGTTATTTGTGTAAAGTGTTGTATTTGTAACAATAACAATAAATCTTATGAATAAAGAAAAAAACATTTGTGTACATATAGAGAAATACTATTAGCGATGTACTGTATGTGTGTATTAGTTGATCTTTATCGCCAACTCCACTGAGAGTATTCTTAATTATTAACTTAATATAGGTTGAGACTTGTACATACTTGTATAATACATCATGTAGTTAGTAAGATATTAAATTCCACATTTACGTTATGATATTTTAAAAAAGCAAATGAAATGCTTAGAAGATTGTTATAACCACATATAGATAAAGGTTGTGGGTGGGGAAAATTATATTTTAACTTATGTGGGTTTGTCAAACCTCATCTGCTGCGTAGGTCTATGATTCAACCTATATGTGAAACTTGGATTTCATGCAATAGAAATATCTTCTATGTGGTGTGAAGGTGTTTGAAAACATTAGTAGTATTTTCAAAAACGATTTTCACTGTTTAAAAAAATATGCGCCAGTAATATAATACTGTAGTGTATTATACCTGCATTGTTTTTCTGGGTCGGCATTTAGTTGCTTAGGAAGTACAAATATAGAAAGAGAGCTTAGAAGCATGCTGATTTGCAGTTTTAGGCAACCAAAAATTACATAGAACATTCAGAATTTTTAATACACACAGCCACAAAGTATATGGTAGGCTAGTGTCTTTGATAACTGTCTCCATGCCTGATTGCTTTCTGTCTCGCTGAGTAGATAGGAAACTCTTTAAAACCAAACAGCAAAGATTTTACATTAGCTGTTCTGTTTTATGTAAAAGAAGATACAAATTTAGTCAACAACACAATAAACAGAAGAATTTGTGGTCAGCTGTGTTGGAAAATCCCTAGTCCTATCGCAACTGATTACTTACTAAAATTATACATATAAGTCCTCAATTAAACTGACCTTTTCACAAAAATGTTTTAACAATTTGAAGAATATGATGTAGTTGACAAATTCTTTAAATATCATCAATAGTTATGATGATAGTATGGGGTTAAGATGTCTTAAAGTTATTTTAATGTTCTTTATGAGAGTTTGTCAAAAACATTTATAGGTCTCTAATTTATTCTTTGGAGTGTCATTTAAATTGTACTGATTACTGATACTCAGCGTTCCGCTCTCTGTGGTCGAAAGTAACTATTTAAATTTTTCAGGCAAGTTTCATCTGGTTTCAAAGACTGGTCGAATTGAAAAAAGTGTGGAGGCACATCGTGGAGCGGTTCTGGCTGGGAGATGGAATTATGACGGGACTGCCTTAATTACAGGTGAGGTTAAAGTTATGCTATGTATAGAAAGTAAATTTTAGTGAAACTTCAGCTGTTTTTGCTATACAAATATTCGTTTGTCAGTGTTGATTGTGTCTAGATTGAACACAGTAAAAACCATTAGAATGTAAGAATGTCAGATAATGTTTTTCTATTGGTCATGTTTTTAAGAAGATACATAAAATCATATTGCTATTTGTACTAAATGTATAAAATATACTTGAACAGAAATATAAAACAAGTAGAAATTGAAAACCTGAGTTTTTTTTTAGGAAATTCAGCCAGGCCAGGTTTCAAATTCTAACATAGCATAAGACAAAACAACATGTTTGAAACCTTACGTTTATAAACAAAATATGGCGTGCTAAGGCTTTTGCATTAAAAGTTTAAGTTGGACTGTTTTCTTAAAACTTTGTCTGAGCTCTTAAAACAGTAATTGGGTACATTAAAGGTTTAAATGCATTAATTTATAAAAACTGGATCATAACCAGTGGAGTGTTCTGTAATGCTCCATTAATATTCCTGGTTCTTCTGAAACACTTCAAGGATTAGGAGTTTTGTTAAATTAAAGTTTGTTAGCCTGTAGCTACTTCAACAAATATTTAAAATCTATTGTAGACATTTTCATATTTTGAAAAGTTGACTTTTTTCATTTATGTATTTTCTTTTGCAGCTGGTGAAGATGGACAAATTAAGATCTGGTCAAAAAGTGGAATGTTACGTTCCACTTTGGTCCAGCAAGGTATGTTGTTCATGAATCATTAAAATATGGTCTCCCCCATAAGCTTTTTTTTATAAGAGGAACAGACTGAACAAACTTTACTGAAAACTTCTGTGTTAATAAAAATATATAAGCTCACCTGAAAAGTTGTTAAACGTTTTGATACATTTTCCTTGGTGAGAGTCGCGATACAAATAGACAAAAAAAGATACATTATGAAAAAAATATTTTGGATGTTATAGTAATTGTCAGTGGCTGTAATATGAAATACAACAGATGCATTTGGTAAATTTAATTTATGGCTTCGGGCAAATTATTCCTTCTTATGCAAAACAGACTGCAGCGAGTGAGTGAATCACAAGTTTGTAGGATGCTATGAAGGATTACAATGTGGGTGAAGTTGTTTATATCTAGATTTTGTGTGCATACAAATTATTTATAACAATCATGTAAGTTAAACTGATTTCATTTTCCTCATGATTTTGAAAAGGAAGGATAAAATGCTATAATCAACCAGTACATATTGTGAGGGCTTATAAACAGTGGAAGCTTTTCTGAGTAAGAGAATTACAAAGATAACATATTTTTTATTGAAATTGGAACAGAGTTAATCATTAAATTAACAGTAAAATAAAAAAAAATATTGAGCATTGAGATGTGTTCTGCAGTTTCACTTATTTTGTATAAGGTGTAATCCATTTGACTGTTTATTTTCATTTTTACTAATACAATACAATATCACAAGCTTTTGTAATTAATTAAGAGATTAATTAATTACAGTAGATTACAATTTTTAATTAAGGGATTTGTACTTTGGTTTTAAATGTCATTTTTGCTCTTTTGGTTTATTTTTTCTTATTATCTACTTTCTAAAACCAAGATGTATATCTTTCTTTGAATTTCCTGTTGAAAAAAAAAACCTATTGAATTAGAAGTGTAAGACAGTTAGGATACCAAATTTTAGATTTAAAAAGACATTAGACCCCTTTCTTTAAATTCATGAAATTATTATAATACTCATTAATAGTCCCAGTCATATATACTGTTATATCGTGGGCTAGAAAAAGCTTTACACTTCAAGGATGAAAGACGGAAATACTTCCCTGGCAGATGGTTGTGTATCCATTGTTTGTTCAGAAGGATTTATTTTGCAACTTAATACAGAATTCTAAACCTTACCAGATTACATTAGTCATCTGGAGTCTGTCAATAAAAAAATCTTTATTTAAATGATAACGCTAGGACACCATGCATTGCAAAAATGCAAAGTATATGTATTTCTTCATTTGTTGGCATATGAAAGTATTTCAGAGCCAGAAACAAGCTGTATATGTCCTTCAAACAGCACCATAACAGAAAGTTATGGAGATTATTTTTTCAGCTATGGTACATTTTGAAATGGAAAATGCCTCACAACTAGTGTTTTCTACCTTTCATTTTAAATATATAAGTGTTTTAGATTTTGTTTCTAATAAACCTAAAAAAATAAAATTAAAGTGCAGGTGAGACACAAAATGCATTACAACATTTGTGTTAGTTTTTTGGCATGAACATAATTTACACTTTTAAGGGTTCAGCTGGATGTAAAACTGAATGACTGTGAAGATCAGTGTGCTAAGTGTATTTTATTGAAAATATTACAGGGTTTCTTTAGTTTTTAGGTTTACTGTTGTATTAAAAAAATCATAAAAATTGTAATGATTGATTACTTTATTTAATTATCATAGAAGTTTTATGTTTTTTAAGTTTAAACTACACAAAAACCTTTAATAGTCACAGTGGTTATAAAGTGTTCATGTGAAATATGTGAATTCTTTCCAGAAACCATTACATTACATTATAATTGTGACATAAATTGTCTTCTAAGTTATCAAATGTGTCAAAATACATTTTCTGTTTTATTAAAGCATAAGCCCCAAAATAAAATCTAGATTTCTTAGAAACCTTAATTAGCCTTGTGATTATTGTGATTACAGAGTGCCACTTTTTTTAGCATAAAATGAGGCATAATGTAATTCTTTCAAATTTCCGATTTTTGAGTAATACTACAGGAGTATTATTTAATTTCAGATTGTAAAACGAATTGCTTTTCAGTCTGCAAATATCTATGTTTGTGAAATAAAAAATACTTCTAAAGTATCTCCTTTCAAACTCATATTATTGCGGATTTTTCTTCTCTTCTATCAGATTATCAAAATAATTTTGTGAAACTAAGGTGTTGCTTAGACAAGTGTTTTTTGTTGAGGTTGATTAAACAATGATGTAACTGTGACCTATTTATCTGAGTCGTAAAGGAAAGATGGGGTAGGGGAAGTCTTCTTAGCCCTGTATTGTTCTGCTTTTGTTAGCTCTGGATCATGTGATCTTTGGCATTTCTGAAAACCACAAGCACCTGGAGTTGGGTTAAATGTCAAAAACCTATGTGTTGTGTTTTAGGCAGAGCTGTTAAATGTTTTTTTTTCCTCCTTGTTTTTGAATTTCAAAAACAAAATCTATCTCATGATCTGTGTGCCTCCTCACACACATGCATAGATCTCTGCTTATTGCTTAGAGCTGAGTTCTTGTGTGTGTAGACTGTTTCGTTCTTCCAGTCTTGCAGAAGTTTGCTTGAGGTTTATCCATAATAAACAGCATTGTGTGCAGCATGCTTCAAAACAGCTCGTATAAATGTTACCCGCTTCTTTATGAAAAACTCGAGAAATGTTTTCAGGTAATGGAGTCAAAGTGGTTTTAACCCACTGTTTGCAGTAAAACGAATATTGGGCTTAAATATTGCTGTCAATTAGAGTCAACAATGCAACAAGACTTGCATTACTTCAATAATTACTAGTTTAAACTACAGTTTAGTTACAGTATGTAACCTCTTTATCCTTTTTAATTCTTCTGTTGATAAATATAAACATTATGTGGTACAGTTGCAAAATGAACATTGTGAAATGTAATTATTGAGCTGGTCTTATGCTGTGACTTGCATTAATAAAGGCTTTTATTTTTGTTTCCTCAAGGGTCATCAGTTTATTCAGTTGCCTGGGCACCTGATTCTGACAAAATTCTCTACACTTTAGGAAAACAGCTGGTTATCAAGCCCCTTCAGCCCAGTGCTAAGGTTTTACAGGTAGACATTACACTTTAAAAATCAAATGGGTTAGGGGAATGCTTTCAGTATTGAAGAGGATTCATACAATATACAGAGATGCTGGTATTAAAGAATCCCCTTGGAAAGGTTTTAATTCATCTGTCTTCATGTGGTTTTGTTTCTAAAGCAATTCAGAAGGTCTCTTTTTCAAAACTGTAGTTATATTATCACCTTTATGATATCTTGAGAGTAACCTGTGATTGGAACATTCCAAGTTTCAACAATAAGTATATGCATGTACTTCTAAACAGAGCAGTTCAGATATTTAAAAGTGATGTTACTTCTAAACAGAGCAGTTCAGATATTTAAAAGTAATGTTATTTATTGTCATTTGAAAAAAATGTGCATGATGTCTGACAAATATACTAAGGAAACAGGGGTTCAGATTTTACCACATTCCACATTTATTGCGTACAGCCCTTCATTCAAAATTGCTTAAGCTACAAATGTAATAAAATTACAAAAGCAGGTAGAACTTTCTAAATGCATATAGAATATATCTGTCATGTAATGTCTTAGTATTATTTACATGGTTGATAATTTATAGTCTTTTAGTAATGATTTGCTAAATTAATCTACTGTACCAATTTCCCCAGTGGGGTTTTGTTTTTTTTTCCCTTTGGAAAATACATTTTGAAGTTTAAGCAAAATACCCCAAGGATCTTTTTGGTGACTTTATGTGCACCAGCTGTCATTGTGCTGAGAGATTCCTAATGGCAGTGCCCATGACCTTTACCATTGCTTCTGACATCTATAGCCTCATAACACAAAGAATTTAGGAGGATTAAGAGGTGTATATTTTATTTGCAGTGAAGGGGAACATAGTTAATGTGCATCAATGGGCATGTCTATTTGTATTTGGTTTCGATTGCTGTCCCTCAACTTTCATTCTTTTCATCTCATTAGATCATTTACATTATCTTAATGCATAGAAACATTCTGCAACTCCATTCTACAACTAACTGCAAACGTGCTTTCTGTTTTCAATTAGAACAAGTCGAAACAATTACCGTAACAGAGAACAGATTTTGTAATCTGTCAGCTGCTTCAGTGAATGCACTACAAGGCCACAATCTTTTTTCTTGTGATCTGTTTTGTGAAAATGCACATTATTTTGCCAAGGACATTTTGTGAAATGGTCCCATATTTTAGGTTGTAAATTGTTATTATTTTAGTTTTAGTCATTTTTTTCCCCAAAAAACATTTAACTTTAAATGTTGAAGAGTTTGGGATTAATTTTTATTGAAAGGATACAAAAAGATGGATTTGCTGGTAATGTTCCAGGCATGACTTGCTGTATTTGTCGTGTGTAAAGTTTATTGGTTGTTGATGAAAAATGTCTGTGCTAATTTATTTCTGTTTTTCTTTTTGTAACCAGTGGAAAGCTCATGATGGTGTCATTCTAAAGGTAGACTGGAATTCAGTCAACGACTTGATTCTTTCAGGCGGTGAAGACTGTAAATATAAGGTAACCGTTTACTGCTATTAAGCCTAAATTCACAAACATGGACGAGGATATACAGCTTTTGTGTATTCCGGAAAGTTCTTTTCACAAGTTATGTTCTAAATTTGTCTTCATGAACATTCAGTATGTATATATATGAATATATATATATGTACTGTATAATCCATCAGATATATGAAGGATTCATGAATATTTTATATAGCTGAAATGTTTGTTGGTGAAATTTGAAAAAAATGGATACTAAGCTATTTTAAATATACAAATAATATAATAGATTTTAAATACACAGATGAATATTGTTAAAGATTGTTTTTTTACCTCAGTAATTTTGGACTTTAAGATAAATTGGACTTTGCACACCTACCTTTTCTAGATGTCATTTAAATGCTATTCTTTTCACAAAACCTAAATAAAACAGCGGCCTTTATTACTCAGATATTACCTTCATGCCCTCCGTTTAAATACCTTTTAACAGTTCTTATAGGAGTATGTGTTACTGACATCACCAGTATGTAGAGAACAGGTATGTCTCTGTCCAACCAAACTATTTTTAAGTAACAGGACTATGTCTGTAATATGTCAGTTATTTTATTTTTCTAATGCCATTCTTCCTGTTATCTGCCATTCCTATTCTTTAAACATAGGTTTGGGATAGCTATGGGCATCTTCTTTACTGTTCTGCCTCACATGACTACCCAATTACCTCTGTGGCCTGGGCACCTGATGGTGAATTGTTTGCTGTGGGCTCTTTCAACACTTTGCGACTATGTGATAAAACAGGGGTAAGTCAGTTTAAAAGGGTGCTGTTTGAATATTTTAGAACATTCAAGATCATTCCTATAACAAAATCCAAAAACTGTCAAAAGTTATTTTTTTGTGCAGACATTAAATGATGTGTTTCAAAACCTTAGTTCACTTTAACCTTTTGCCACATTTTGACATTAGAAAAGTGTGGCACATCTTGATCTCTTTTAGTAATAAGCTTCCCAGCTTGATGAACGCACCTCATACTGTAATTGCAAAGCCACAGTTGCTCCAAGGTATTATAAAATTCAGTTAAGGTTTTAATGCTACCATACAAATGATAGAAGAATGTAGTTTTATGGAGTTGCTTAAAAGGTAGATTTTATCATTTTTTAATGTTTAGAATTTTTGTTTATATATGATTTGAATTTCCATAGTAAAAGACATTGGGCCCTATATTCATGTCTTGCTGCTGCAGTCGCAGTGGAAAATAATGTGGATTTAAGCACCTACAGTATGTGTTCTCAATAAAGGGCCCATTGCATCAACCTATATTCTCTGCATGTTTTCTGGAGTATATTTTGACCGTAATTTTAACTCAACAGTGTTAATGACTGCATGTTTCATTCACTCCTTTTAGGATATCTGTAGTATCTTAATATTTAAATGCTTAAAAAGTCTTAGTTATGTCATTTCTGCCATTCAAACAAAGCATTCGGTAAATAGTCAAACATTTATGGTTTTCTATGGGAAATTGAAACCACATACCTCCTGAATCCTGAGTATGATTACAGGCAGAGGAGCATTCTCTATGCTGTATGTTCTCCCTATGTTTGTGTGGGATTTCTCAGAGCGCTCTGCTATTTTTCCAAAAACTTTACTGACTAGATTAACTACTGTATCTAAGTTATCCCAGTGCATTCGTGTGTGACCCCTTGCCAGGAATAAACAGCTTTCTGAAATGGATAGATGAGTTAATGGTATATGTATGGTGACCTCTCAATACAGTTGTTCTGCCCTAGTTGTTACAATGCTGTTCTGTGTGTAGTGAATCTACATGAATTTCACTGCGCTTAAAACAGTTGAACTTGAGCAGCAGTATAAATGTAAACAGTGAGGTTTTAAACCTTCTTTGACTTTGTTTTCTTGCCAGCAAGGAAGGATCTAGGTCTAGTGCAAAGGAAGCTGAAAGTTAAGCATATTCTTAAGGGCTGTATTCAATCAGCTATAAAAACATAAATTAACTTTTAGAGTTTCTTGTACAAATCAGCGTTGGGTTGGACTTTACACCTGCTAATGTGTGCTCTTGAAAACGTGGAGGAAAAATAATGAGAGAACACCGTATTAACATCAGTTATGGTTTTCACTTTGAAATAGGAATATTTTCGAGAAGGCAATTCAGAGGTCAGAGAAATTGTGTTGCCATCTACATCTGAGATAGAATGAAAGTGTAACTCTAAAAAGTTGTCTCATTTTCACTACACTCTTTAAAAGCTTTGTTAAAATGTTTGTTCATAGTTTAATTCTTAAGACTTTCAAAAGATTAAACATTTTTTTATTTTACAGGCTAGAGGTGTTAAATATTTCATTATATTGTATAAAGGGTCAGTTCTCATTGTACGTCAGCATGGTTTTGATTTTATGTTCTTCATTTTCATGTACTTCATTTTCCGAGCTAAGATGTGCTGAAAAATAAGACACAGTGCAACAAGGCATTATAATGATTTTTTATTCGATTATAGGTCAGCTTGCACTTACATTTTGGAATCATTCCATTAAGATTCTGATAAAATCTGCACCAGAATTGTGCATTTACATGACTAGGTGATATATTTCTGCCCAGAGAAAAGCCTGAGCATGTACAAAGTCTAATCTAAAGACGTGTTTACATTTAAATGAAGGTGTGCTGACACTGATATTTCTGTTTACAAGTTGAAGAAGCCATCATAGCCCAAATATTTTCATGAAGTGGTATAACAATAAAGAATATTGGTATAAAAATAATAGATCTCCATGCTATGACTAAAGTTGAATCTATTTTCATATTACACCTTTTCAATGTAATGAATTCAGTTTGCATGCGGTTTCCTGTGGGAAATGTCTCCCACTTGCACCAGGCAGTTTCTATAAGTCTTCAGCATCTAAGAGGACAGCATATCCTTTTCAAAATGGATTTGATAGCCTTTGCAGTACAGGTGCTTGTGTTGATGTAAATCTATGTGCTCTTGTGTTTTTACCCAGAGTTCATGTGCTAGTTTAAGTCTACATGTTCTTGTGTACTCGAGCCATAATAATTGCGCTAATGTAAATCTACCTGTTCCTGTTTGCTTGATACAGCATACTAGTGCTAATCTTAATCTACTTTTTTGTGACACAACAGCCAGTTTGGATGTTCTCCCAGTCACCCCACCATCATAACCACCACCACAAGGTTCTTATCTGTGTTAACATTAAGTGAGCGATTCAGTCAAACCCTGTGTACAGCTTCAGTTAATAAATCATTGTTTCAGGCTGTGCTTAAAACTTTAAAACTGATAATGAAAATACTGTGAGTGAGACTAGCTAGAAGCCACCAAATAATTTGGCTTTAGAACCACCTTGATCAAGTCTTGGAATTTACTGGTGTCTTATGTAAAACATTGATTATATAATTATATATTTCTTTTAAAACAGAAATTTCATTTTAAATTTCTGATATTTCTTTTAAAACAGATAGATTTCTAACTAAAATACCTTGAACTAGAATGTTATACCTAAATTACTGAATACTGAATACAAGAACAAAAAATCAAAACTGTGAAAATCTTATTAGTGTGTTTCATTAATAGTGCATGACTGAATGTCATTTTTAAGTACTAAAACAAATGGATAGTTTGTGCCAGAGGCCAACACAGATGTCTAATACAGTTAAGTTTTGGAAGCTTTTTTTATTATTAAGAAGTTGTTTCATGTTAACAACCTTCATTAGAAAAGAATTAAGCTTAGATAGTACCTAAACAGGCATATTATCTAGTAATAAATTGCATGACACTCAAATTGGTTCCTTATTGTTGATTTGTCACTGCAGATATTTGCTTTACATGTAACCAAGCATATTAAAATTATATTCAAGTACAGTTTTATTGCTTAAAATTCTATATTTATATTTAACTTCCAAGAACATTCAAATTCTAATGCTATTTTTCATATGCTAATTAGATGTTTTCTTTAACACAGTTTCACTATGGTTTTTAATCCCCATTATTTACATACTGTACTATTTATAATCTAAAGCCCTGAGTGGTCAAACAGGTTTTTAGTTGATAAATAACAGTGATAAGCAAATAGTCACCCCATGCCAATGGTTCCTTTCAATTTATCTATGACATATTGTCCCTTATAGACAAAATAGCTTTTCTTACATAATCCCTGGTCAATAAATGACTGACATACAGGACATTTCCTTCTGGGTTCAACATCCTGATTCCAAAGACAAATGTATGTTGTTCTGTATTTAACCTTTAAAGAAAAAGAAACTCTCCAGCATTACAAGTGCCTCTCTCAGCTGTTGGTTACAAAGTGGTTTCTTTATGCAGCTTGGGTAGTATTTGTTTATGAACACCTCATCCTTTTACCACTAGTTTAGCATTTTCACAGTCTATTACATATTCTGAAGCTGTACAAATTTTGTCACTTATTTAGAACTTATTAGGTGATTGCATTTCTTTTAAGCAAATATTTTTTTCCTAAATATTAAGAAATTCAATTCAGTGAAGGGCATAAAGAGTTAATGACTTTGAGGCATCTGGGTATTACTACCATGACTAATCTCCAGGAGTTTCATTCTGTATCTTGTACAATGAAACCTTGCACTTTACAGACTGCTTGCTCAGCAGGAAAACAAGAACTAATTTAACCCTTAACCTCCATCAGGACTCTAAAAAACATAGTTGGACGCACATAATCTATTGCACATTTTTATCATTAGTCATTTGACCAGAAAACATTTGTGAATATCATGTTATGTAAGAAACTTTAAGAAAAATAATTTGCGTAAGACTAATTCAGAATTATTTATTCTATGTTAAAAATAATTTGAAGACTGTTGAAATCTGCCAATTTGGAGATGCTTACAAAATAATGTTTATCATTTGAAATATTTTTTTTTTGTTTACTAGATTTTATTGACAAATATCAGTGCCCAAGATTTGTTTTTGATTTCCTTTTCTTATTTATAAGTCCAAAGTGCCTCCAAGTTTTTGGTAGAATTTTCTTTACCTGAAACAAGCTGTTTGTAAAATTAAAGAGCACTGAAAACGTTTTATATATATATAGGTAGGTAACTTGTACTGATGTGTTTCTTGCTCTATTCAGGAAACTTTGATTTATTTTTGTTATTTTAGAAGAAAAAGATTCATACCCCAGTCAAGCACTCTATTGATGTGGAATCTCAGTTTTCTAAATTTAAATAATTGTCTCATTGTGACCCTTAATTAGAGAGGATTTGGTAAATATAGAACATAACATGATACCTTGTGCTGTAACTTAATCCATAACACTTAAATCGGGCAGACCTATTGAGTAATTCATAAAAAATGTAACTATGCTGAAATATATAAAAATAACTTAAACCATTATTAAGGAATATATTAGTACATTATGTAAAATCTAAACATGAAGAATAGACAGATAATTCGTTTTTGTCAAAGTTAAGCACAAAAGGTAAGAAATTCATACACATTTTCTTATTGTTGGTGTATGAAAATAAAAACAAAGACAGTTAAATGTATTATTGTACCATATTAGAAAATTCTTATTCTTATTTAAAAAATAAAGGAAGTGTTGTGCTTCGATATATGAGAAGGGTTTAAACTTGTAGATGCTTTAACATCTTGAGATATCTAGAATACTGACAGTTTTTAACTGAAAACATACTTTAATCGATATCCTAATCCTAACAAAACTTCACATTTCAACCAAAAAGCCTGTTTTAGGTACCAGAATCTTGTTTCAGCACAATGTGTGTACTCAATTTACAGCTTAAAAACAATAATTAAGT